TCCTAAATTACACTCAAAGACAAATCACAGTTATCCACTAAATAAATTAACGGCTACTAATAAGGTAGTGGTCTCTCTACTGTTTTTTTTTCTGGTAGAGGAGCGGATCTAAATCCTTTCCGCAAGGGTACTGTGGAGGTTTTACAAAAATATTTGTAATTTTATCTTGAACAACAAGATGGAAATGTTTTTCAAAAAAATCCAGACAAGTATGAGCATCTCATGGATAAGAAAATGACGCACAAGAAAGCAAAGAGCAGAGAAAGAAACTAATCAAGAGCAGGGGTCAAACATCCAAGGATTATGAAAGATATGATTAAGAATATTTTCTTGCAAATCCTGATCTTCATCCTCCTTATTCTATGTATGTCAATTTTAAAATTGGAGATCACGCCATTCGTATATTGTTTAACAGCTTATTATATTACCAAGTGGAAAATAAACTTTTTAAAGAGATCAAGTGTTATAGTTTTAAAAATTATGTTTCATTAGTTTAGCACCCGATGTTCATGCAGACAGTTACAAGTGGTACCTCCATTACAGAAATAGAACAGAGAGGATTCATATCCACTGGAAACAATAATCCATCAATTAAAATTCGTTCACAAGTGTCAGATAAAAATGTTGAACTAATTTCAAGTTCAACTTTTTTAAATGTCAGAAACTACCCAGTTGGAACCATTAAGAAATGCTATATCCATATTTTCAATTAGAAATATTCATCCAAGCTCAATTAAACAATTTGAAAATTTCCAGCAGCTGTTGCTGCAAGCAAGCCTCCAATGTTCCATGAATCAGTCCAAAGAGAACCAATCATATGGCCACCATAACTTTGTCAAGATATAACATAGGGGTTCATGAATGTATATAAATTGCGATCCTAAAAGCTCCTTCCATACTTTTTTAGGAAACTATGTTTTTCGTTGAGGTAACTTTTGGGATTTTCTTGGAAAAGGAAATAGTAGAGCCAAGATTAAGAAGTAGTTTTGAATTAATTTCTTTATAGCTAAAGGTTTGCAATTGGGAGATGAAAATACTGAAAATAGTATTTTCCTAGGATATGATTAAAAAAACCACATCATCTCCATTACTAACTCTTTATATCTAAGTTGAATCTAATGAGACCAATGAAAATTTAGCATTTAAAATATCTTAGGTCAGTAATATTTAAGGTTATAGGATCCTACTACTTGAAACAAAGACTAGTTAGCTGAATAACATTTATTTTTTTTAAAAAAAAGTCGAAAATGTAACTAGCTTAATTTAAGTTCAGACCTTATTGTTGTCAAAGGTCCCTAACTTGCACCAAAACTAGGAGGGTTTAAAATTTTATACTCTTACATGTCTTCGCAGTTTTGAGCGTCCGTTTTATAGACTGAAACTTGAACACATGCAGTGAGCATCTTTTCAATCCACATTAAATTTGTAATCCATGGAGATTAGGATGCTTCCACCGCACCAAAACTACGAAGTTGTGATGGTGATCAGGATGCTTCCACTACACCAAAACTAACACCAAAACTACGAAGTTGTGGTTTGAGTTATACTCTTTAACTTTTTCTTTACTTTTTTCCCTCTCTGGGCTTTTTTTTTTAAGTAACTGAAAGCCTCAACCGTATCACACATCCTTTGCCAAAATTGGTTGTATGCAAACAAAAATTCATACTCTAACAATTATATACAGATTGCACATAGGTATAGCTAAAAGAGAACAGACACTAGCAAAATATAGAAGCAAGGGCCGCCATCAATTCTAACAGATACAGTGAAATTCCACGTGTAACTTCAAAAAAGCAGACAACTTCACAATATAAAGAAGCTCTCAAGCTAATTCTGTTGAATTTAGGAGGAGAAGATTTCTACTAACCTTGACGATGAGAACAATGAAGAGGGAGAGGATGTGGTCACCGCCTGGGTACAATATTTCGCTTGGAGGGAGAGGCTAATGGGTTTGATGGCCCTTATATAAAGGGAAAGTTTTGCTTGCAGAAAAAGTTGAAGAATTTGTCCAAAAAAAAAAATCTTCTTTGTTTTCTTATTCTTTTCTTGGAGGGAAAGCGCAAGAGGAAGGGAATCGGAATAGGATAAGGGTGGTTTGATCCGCCTCTGCGTGTTTCAATGGCGCCGTTGATTTTAGCTTTGATCATGTCACCAACGCTACAGTGCGCGCCCAGGACTAAAACTGGGTGTAAAACTGTGTGCTGGACATTTTTTAGAGTTTTAAACAAATTTCATTTAGACCATGTCTTTTTGGGACAAAACTCAAACTTCTCACAATATAGCTTTGATCATGTCTTCTATAATTATTTCATTTGTTTATTTCTTTTTAGGACATTCGAGTTTGCATAGTGGCCAACTTCTAGACATTCGAAACATTTACACGTCTTTTTGAACGTCCAGGGTTTTATCGTGTATTTTTCTTTTTCTACGGTTTTACCCTTTTTAGACCAATTTTGTTGTTTAGAAAATTTTCCTTTTCTAAACCTATATGGTCTCTAGTATTTGTTTTTATAAGGTTTTTTTTCTTTATGGTTTACAGCAACCATAATCTAGTGGGAATCCTTAGATTTTATCACAACAGTTTTGTCCCAGGGCACTTTCTTTTAATTGGCTTTTAGTTTGTTTAAAAGCTTTAGATAATTGGCAATACTATTCTAATTCTCTTATTATGAAAAATTGAACAGCTTCACTAGACCTATCTTCTTTAGGGACTTTCTTTAGATAAGCTTCTTCTAAAAGAATATCCCATGGTCTAGATAATTTTTAAAAGATATTTTCAATCCACCGATCCATGCGTTGCTTATTTTCAAGCCGATAGACCAGTTTAAAATAGTCCATTATTTATAACAAGGGAGAATCTTGTCCTAACTGGAACATAGGATCCTCTACTCTTGTAGGTTTGGTTGTAGGTTTTGTACCTACTGGAGGTGGCTCTGTAGGAAGTGGCCATGTAGTTGAGCATTCTCTTGTTTTCACCATATTTATAACAAGTGAGTCTTCAAACTCACTTATTTTTGAAGTCGAGTCATCTTGACCATCATCAGAATAATAATTTAGTAAAGACTTGTTATTATCTAACAGTTCGTTTACTTGCTGTAATGCAGCAAACTCTGTTTGGGGATTCTGAACTTGTTGTGTTAAATTCTGTATTTGTTATCTTAATACAACTCTATTTGAAGAATCTAGTGTTTCAGGTTGATGAATATCTAACAAACCCTTCGTTTTTATTATCATATTTAAATTATTTGTCCAATGAAATTTCCTAAATGGTCTTCACTAGGAACTGGACTTTTGTTTTTTGATTTTAATTCTTCAATTTATTTTTGAAGATTAAGGATGTTGGTATTTATTTCTTCTAAAGGATACACCATATCGATTATAAAATTTAACATGGAAGCTAAATCATGTGTTCTAGGTGACTCGATAGAGTCTTTAGATATATGAAGTAAGTGTTTGTAACTCTTTGGCTCAGCACTTAGCCTGCAACTATCTAAGATTATTTTTGACATTATTTTATCTTTCTCCTCTCCCTATCTCACATTATGTCATTCACCTTCTATTATAACTTTTCTATATCTACTTTACTTATTAAGGGTTTGACCCTATGCTCTCCGGCTCATCACATACTCTCTGGAGGTGGCTTTCTCCCCAGAGTAAGGACTCGAACCTAGCAACAACCTAGGTGTTTCTTCTATTGTAGCCTGAAGACCACAATCCTAGCATGCTACTTCAGAGAGAAAGAGCATAGTCTAGTTGTGTTTCCTACCTCTAAACATAGATTAATGTGACGCCCCAAGTTTCACACAAGACTACAGTCTAAGGTGAACCTAATTAAAGATGTCAAACATGTCATGCACCCAACAATGTGCATAAACATGTTTCACCATCACATTAATATCGCTTTAGTAGATGTCAAAATAAGAAGTGAGGGTACAAATAGATATATCAAAGATGACAATACAAGGAACACAATATAGAGAAGAGACATCCAATAATAACTAAAATTTTGTTCCAACAGAGGAAAAGAGAGTCCATCTGGTAAATTGGAATAAGAATATCGAATCTTTAATACATGAGAGTCAATTGAAAAATACATAAGCACTCAGCCTCTAAAATGAAATGCATCTCTAAAACAAAAACTAAACTCATAAATAGTCTAATGTGGAGAACTAATTAACTACTTATAATTGACAAAAATCTACGCTGAGTCCCCGTCAACCTGCAGCTCTTCGAACCCCCGACTCGCTGCTTGAAAAAGATGGAAACAACGAGCGCCAAAACGCTAGCGAGAACATCTCCACCCCCTAGGGGGAAGGGGGTTAGGTGTATAAAATATTAATCATAAAATATATGATTCATATATCCTAAGCTAAGAGGAGATACGATTTAGAAATTCACAACACGAGATGAGTACATCGAGCAAAATAATCCAAATAAGGAAACCCTTAATATATATACCATGTATCTCAAATTGTGGATCGCTAAATATCAACTCCAAATCTTTTAAATAAATAAATAAGTAGCAAGGAAAAGTACTCTATCAATATCTCATCCAAGACAAATAGTATACGTAGCATCATAGTATCTCACGCTACCCTCGGGTAGGTGGCACAGAAACAAAATTACAAACCCATGAAAGCCTTGTTAAAATATACATTGATGTATAAGAAAGTCAAGTGTTGGACTACATTCATAAATAGTATTCGTCTGAGCTCTAGGCTTCCTAAATATGTAGAGTGTAGTCATCTGTAGTATCATGCGACTCACGGACTAACACATTCAGAGTGTAGTCGCTTGCTATGTCATGCGGTACACGGACCTACGCACTCAACCATAAAAACAATGATGCATCACAGAGTGTAGTCGACCACATTCTCATTGCGATGTGCGGACTAACGTACTCATAGTGTAGTCGCCCGCGTTCTCATTATGGTGCACGGACTAATGCACTCGAGCATCCACAACCATCGTAAACTGAAATAATCGTTACTCCCTATCATGATATACGCAAAGCATTAGACTACGTATATCAATAGGCTCATGCGTGCTTAAATCTAGTACGTGCCCTCTCATGGTCTCGCACGTGTGTCGACGTGCAACTCGCACTACGTGTTCACGATCAAAAGTATGTGGAAAGATTAACATTACAAACAACGCTAGACCAGTCGACCGATATATCTCATCGGTCGACCGAACGCTACGTGAACAACACATGCACAAAAACCAGCCTTTATCAGTTGACCGAATACATGTGTCGGTAGACTGATCATGAGAAAAATCCTAATTTCATGCTAACCAATCGGTCGACTGATTCTCTTGATCAGTCGACTGACCAGAGAAAAGTTTTCAACTCCTGAGAAACGTTAGATTTTCTCAAAAATTTAACAAAATTAAAAATTTGCAAAGAACTCATATATAAAATCTCGATTTAGTGCAATTAGGATTTACTCTGAAATATGAAAACACAAATATAATTTTTTTTGAGGGATTCTAATAACCCTAACATGTTTATGTTTGTAAATTTATCATGAAAGAAAATAGATTAACAATAATCTCATGCTAGATTTACTTCAAACCTTTAACCCAATTTAAAGAAATCTGTTTCATAACTTTTTAAATCAGAAAGATTAAATCTTTACGTCATACAGATAAAAGGGGTGATGTTTACACCTAAAATAAGTATTAAAATCTAATAAAAACCAAGAAAAAATCGTGCTGATCTCTCAAACGCAAGAGTGACTTGATCCTCCTTCACCAAAACCGAAGATTTTGCCCTCCCCTCGAACCTTGCAATTCTTCTCCCAAAGCAAGATAAAATTTCTCTAGGCTTTTGAGGGGGGTGGTTGCTGCTCAAAACGTGAGGGATGATGAAGAAAAGAGGAAAAAGTCGGGCATACACACACACACACACACACATTATATAGTATATATATATGTGTGTGTGTATATATATATATATATATATATATATATATAATATATATATATATATATTATATATATATATTATATATATATATATATATATATATAAAAGCAGACCCAACCGAAAACAAGCCAAAACCCGTAAGCTGTTTGTGTCAGAAATATTTTTCATTGCGGAATCCATTACACGTTTATCGTCTTACAGATTCAAAAAAGAAAGTTAGTCTTTTTATAAGACTTTCTTACATAATAAAAACAAATAGGGGGATCTCCTAGAAACACATGCAAGATCATTTATCGATCGCTGCTTGCGTGGGATCTTTGCATGTGCTAGGGACTCATTGATCTGTGGACCGCCGAGTATCAGATCCGGTAGATCTTGTTTCACAAAGGAAATAATAACTGAAGTAAATATCTCAACAAGGTGGGATAAGTACTCTTCTCAAGATTGAAACGAAGTCTGATCTTAAGGAAACAGGTGAAGAATGTTGAAGGGGGTTGCAAATTTCTCGAACTCTTCCTATTTCTGCTGAAGAACTTACCAAGACTCACCTTTAGATCTAAAATTTATGCTCCTTGCTCTCCAAAACACCAAGGCATCGCCTCCAAGTCCGAAATTCCCTCTAATGCATAGTGACCATAGGGGTGTATTTATAAGCTTCGGGTGCCCCGTTTTTGGATAAGAATTCACGATTTGATCTTATCATTAGTTAGTAACCACATTTCCACGTTCAAGGATAGCTTCAAGTTAGTTGGAGAGGCTTTGGAATGAATAAATCGTGGAATTCTATCAAAATACGCATCGTCGGGAGGCTGAATGGGCGAAACATGCTGACCAGGTGTGAAACACCAATGGTGTTTCGCCCACATGGGCGAAACACAATATATGTTTTGCCCATGGGGGCGAAACACTAATGGTGTTTTTCCCATGTGGGCGAAACACACATGGTGTTTCACCTCCTGTGGGCAAAACACAGCTCTTGGCTGAGTTGTTTCTTTATTGTATTGTTGTTTCGTATGTTTCATTAACTCGTACGCTTTGCCGACTCACTTCGTATGCTTGTTGGCTTCTCTATGGAATAAGATGATCCTCTTTGATTCGGATAACAATGTTCATCACCTTCTCTTCATCTCGAGCTGCGTGCGGGAACCTATAGGCAAATTTTGATGCTTACAAAT